AGTGTGGTCACAGCCTGGCCCTGGCCGGGGATGTCTGTGTGCCTGCAATGTCCCTGGGATGTCCCTGGGGTGCCCCTGGGATGTCCTGGGATGTCCCCAAGCCCAGGCACTGTCAGCCCCAGCTGGGGATGTCTGTGTCCCTGGGATGTCCCGGAATGTCCCTGGGATGTCCCTGGGATGTCCTGGAATGTCCCTGGGATGTCCCTGGGATGTCCTGGAATGTCCCTGGGATGTCCTGGGATGTCCTGGGACGTCCTGGAATGTCCCTGGGATGTCCTGGAATGTTCCTGGGATGTCCCTGGGATGTCCTGGAATGTCCCGGAATGTCCCTGGAATGTCCCTGGGATGTCCTGGAATGTCCCTGGGATGTCCCTGGGATGTCCCTGGGATGTCCCTGGAATGTCCCGGAATGTCCCTGGGATGTCTCTGGGATGTTCTGGGATGTCCCTGGAATGTCCTGGAATGCCCTGGAATGTCCCTGGGATGTCCCCAAGCCCGGGAACAGCCAGTCCTGACTGGGGATGTCTGTGTGCCTGCAATGTCCCTTTGATGTCCCGGGATGTCCCTGGGATGTCCCGGGATGTCCCGGGATGTCCCCAAGCCCGGCACTGCCAGCCCTGTCCTCCACTGCCAATATTTGGTTTTTTCCCACTCCCTCAAAGCCGGGGCTCCTTTCCCCGCCGTGGGAATCTCTCGGCTCCGTCCCTGCTTTGGGGCTGCTCCCAAACCTTCTCCCGAATTCTGCAGGAAAATCCCGCTGGGGGCTCCGAGCTCACCCAGCGGGTCCCTCCAGACTAAACCCGGGATTGTGGAACCCCCCTCCCTGAGCAGCTGCTTCAAAGCTGGCCTTGAACTCTGGGTGCATTTTTAACAGCCTGTGATTTATTTGGGTGTTTTTCTAAAGCTTTCTGGGACCTGACCATGAGTTAAAGTTTCAATCTGTTGGTATTTAGTGAATAAAAGGGGAAAAAAGAGGAAAAAATACCCCAGCAAAACAAAATAAGGGAAAAGAGCCTTGAAGTGGTGGTAAATATTGGAATAAAATAATAAATAAAAATAAATGTATAAATAAATA